TTCTATACAATTATATTATATTAGGTCAGGTATTGCAGATGTTCGACTTTCTTTCAAGAAGTCGAACAATGGCTCCAAAAGCCAACCACGGACGCTTTATAACATATTATAGCAATAAAAAGTGATTTATGGAAGTTTTCTAAAAAATGTTATTGTGTTCTAGTCCATGGACCCCGTCTAAGGAGTGAGAAATTAACGAAATGTGATAACTGAAAATTAAAATTTCACACAAAACCTCACAATAATCACAACAGCACAATTGCCGTCGACGGCAATAGTGCCTACATTACCCGTATCGAGAGCCGTGGAGATGGATAATGTGCACATTGTCACTATAACACAATGCACCATAACAACACAAGAGAGTACACCACAACAACATCCAGCTCAAGACCAAAGTGAACGCTGCGACGAGGTGATGCCCCCATCGCCATCGTTGCCGTTGCCTCCCCCAGAACCGCCACCTGCATCTGTCATCGGCAGTGCTGGGGCTGAGTCTGTGGTGTCGCTGGCACGGGCAAATATGGATGATGTAAGCACTGAACATGAACAAGAAGAAAGAAGGCTGAAGGAAACGGAATTCAACAGAGAAAACAACACGATTAACATTCAAAGACCTAGACGATCAACCGCTAATTATTCAATGAATTATTACAGTACTGGATGTCAAGCACCGGCGAAGACACTGGGAACAGAAGATTTAACAACAACAGGAGAAACAACAATGGTAACAAATTACCATCAAGATCAAAGGAGGAGTCAACGAACAGAGGTTCAGCAACGTGAAGCGAGCCTGGGACCGATCGGTGTTGATGAGGAGAATGACACGGAGGACGACACTGAGGACGAGTTGGAAGATGAGACGGGGGACGAGGTTGCGGTTGGTGGGGACGAGGAATCGGATGGTGATTGTGATCGTAAGAAGTCTCCCGTTTTTCTTCATCTGTTGTCTCACCCTAAGTGTCTGCAGGTGTATGATGATTTTAGTTTTACTGTTCTTTGTCGTGCACGGTACGCTAGTCAGTTGAAAGTACTTGAGGCTGTTTGTATTCGTTTGCATAAGCCTGATCTTTGTAAGCAGAAGAAACATGTAGTTGCGTTAAGATTGTTTTCGTAGGTGCACAGCATGATTGTTTGTCTCACTACACAGTTCTAGCGTTGCAATTAGTTCCTCACCCCTGTTGCACTTAGCTCTCAATTTACTTCTATTGTCTCACCTTCCCTCATTCTATTTTAGCACTTTGTTTTGTTCTCGTAACACATTATTGAATGTATATAAATTATTGATTTAGCATGGTTATTCTTCAGTTACGGCTTTCCAGTGATGATTGTGACAAGAAAATCGATTTCGGTAAACCTTCATGACTTTGTTGTAGTGTGGCGATGACAGCAGAATTGTTTCTCTTTATAGCTATTATACTACTACTACGTACGTTTTTTGGCATTCAACCTGGGCGTGCTAAGCCAACTCGGAGCACAAAGCCAACTATAAAACAACTATCCCAAGACCAAAAAGATCTCCACATATGCATCCATGCTTAGCCAGATCCTGCCAGAAGAAAAGTAATGAAAGAGGAGCGCAACAGTGTTCAGCACAAAATCAGAAAAATACTGAGGCAGGATGGAGACGACTTCTGGCAAAGGCAGGCAGAAGCTACTGATGCTTTATGACCTGACCCACGCTCCTATCACAATGCAATCCGGAAGCGCCAAATGAAGTCGAACACAAACACTCCTCCTGTTTGGCGTGCAGACCATTATGGCAATATCACGACAAACATTCAATGGAATCTCGACACAATTTGTAAATGCTTCCAGTCAATAATTTATCGCACTGACCTACCCTGTGATTTCCGTTGCTCGTAAGATATAAATGATGAGGAATTGCCGTTAACCACCCAAGTAGCACTTCAGCAAAAAGGAGGTGCCGTTGGACCCGATGGAGTCAGTGCGGAAATGCTACGAGCTGCTAAGGATCTCCTCAGTCCTTGGCTGGCCTCTTTCTTCAACACAATACATAGTATTGGTTATTGCCCTGACGATATGCGCATAGGATTGGTAGTACCTGTATACAAACCAGGCAAGCCACTCGGAAAACCGGAAAGTTATCGCCCGATCATGCTACTCTCTAAGGTGATAAAGGTGCTGACGTCAGTTATTACAAAACGTAGCACTGATGAAATCACAGTTTATGTCTCTGAAACCCAGGCAGGATTTTGTACAGGTCGCTCAACCGCTGACGGTGTATTTTACACAAGGTGTGAGCGCGCCTTGCTTGGCAACTGAACATAGTCCTTCACCCTCCTTGATTTCTGTGGTGCCTTTAACACTGTAATTCGCACCACAACACTTGAAAGGTTTGAGGAAGCAGGTATCAGACCAACAACTATCAAGTCTCTACTTTCCAACAAGACAGCCAGGATCAAGCTGAGTGGCTCCCTGAGTCCACCATTCCCACCTAACATCGGAGTGGTCCAGGGAGGCCCGATGTCCCCTAGTATGTTCATAACATTCTGTAGAAGGCGCAATGCGCAATATCTGGGAAAGATGCACAATTCGCTAATCAATGCCTGGTCCAACAACGCAGTACGCTGACGATACTGCTCTGCATTACCGAAAACTAAATATGTTGATGTTACGAGAAACAGCAACGAATGGAGATCAATCAAACTCCTGGGTTCCCTTTTGGTTTCTGCAAAAGACGTGGACATGAGAATTTCAAAAGTAAACAGAACGCGTTTGGTTTGATTTCTTGGAGACGACATTCCTTTCAATCCCGACTGTGTATGTTGAACTGCCTCATAATGCCGATCCTTCTATACAATTGCGGATTGTGAAATCTGTCCTAATTGCTAAACGACTAACTGGACAAATAGCAACGTAGGAAGCTTCTTGACTGCTGCAGATTATCTATCCGCAACGCATCACCAATAACAACTTGTACCCAGAAACAAAACAATCTCCAGTCAGTGCCACATGCCGGCGGCACAGGCTGATGTGGTTTGGCCATGTGGTGCGAGAGGCCCCAGAATCCGCCTTGTTTCAAGCACCGGAGCTATCCGTGAACACAAACGACATAAAACAAACCGGAGAACACTAAACCAGGAGACGTGAAACACCTTACCACATTCAGGACCGGACACCAAATGCTTGTACTGGTTTAGTGTTATTCGTTGCGCACGTTTCATCAGGCAATTGCAGGTGTTGGAAGCTGTGTATATTCGTACTCGTGACCCTGTGCTATATAAACCGAAAGAAAACGTTGTATCACGAAAACGTCATAACTTAACTTTGGACTTGGATGGAGAGCCAAGGATTAATATATAAGAAAGAAAAGGGACAACGAGCTAAACGTTACGCTACAATGTCCACTAACACCACCAGTTATGTTATATATAAAGCTTAGAACCTTTCAAGTTGGAAGGCTGTTGGAGTGCGCATCCAAGATGTACTAGAGCTGTTAGCCAGTCAGTTGTAGCACGTCAGTATCGTTGTTGTTGGTTTTTATTTCATTCAAACGGGATGACGACCCAATAAAATGACGGCCAAGGCTTAGCCTAGAAGTGACTATGGAAGAACATAATAAAGGCTATGGAAGCACATAGTAGGAGAATAGGATACTAATAACTGCGAGAAACCGGGGGGGGGGTGAGAGAGAATACGATGTATCGTCGGTCAGTGTCGTGCAGTGTTATCGCATGAGCTGATCGTTTAGTAACTGGTGGTGTTAGTGGACATTGGAGCGGACGTTTAGCTCTTTGGTTCTTTTTCTTTCTTATGAACTTAACTTTCTTCATTTTTTGCTGTTGTGATGAGTGCACAGCCATGCAAAATCTCTCGATCCTTCTATACAATTGCGGATTGTGAAATCTGTTCTAATTGCTAAACGACTAACTGGACAAATAGCAACGTAGGAAGCTTCTTGACTGCTGCAGATTATCTATCCGCAACGCATCACCAATAACAACTTGTACCCAGAAACAAAACAATCTCCAGTCAGTGCCACATGCCGGCAGCACAGGCTGATGTGGTTTGGCCATGTGGTGCGAGAGGCCCCAGAATCCGCCTTGTTTCAAGCACCGGAGCTATCCGTGAACACAAACGACATAAAACAAACCGGAGAACACTAAACCAGGAGACGTGAAACACCTTACCACATTCAGGACCGGACACCAAATGCTTGTACTGGTTTAGTGTTATTCGTTGCGCACGTTTCATCAGGCAATTGCAGGTGTTGGAAGCTGTGTATATTCGTACTCGTGACCCTGTGCTATATAAACCGAAAGAAAACGTTGTATCACGAAAACGTCATAACTTAACTTTGGACTTGGATGGAGAGCCAAGGATTAATATAATATATATTATAAGAAAGAAAAGGGACAACGAGCTAAACGTTACGCTACAATGTCCACTAACATCACCAGTTATGTTATATATAAAGCTTAGAACCTTTCAAGTTGGAAGGCTGTTGGAGTGCGCATCCAAGATGTACTAGAGCTGTTAGCCAGTCAGTTGTAGAACGTCAGTATCGTTGTTGTTGGTTTTTATTTCATTCAAACGGGATGACGACCCAATAAAATGACGGCCAAGGCTTAGCCTAGAAGTGACTATGGAAGAACATAATAAAGGCTATGGAAGCACATAGTAGGAGAATAGGATACTAATAACTGCGAGAAACCGGGGGGGGGGGGTGAGAGAGAATACGATGTATCGTCGGTCAGTGTCGTGCAGTGTTATCGCATGAGCTGATCGTTTAGTAACTGGTGGTGTTAGTGGACATTGGAGAGGACGTTTAGCTCTTTGGTTCTTTTTCTTTCTTATGAACTTAACTTTCTTCATTTTTTGCTGTTGTTATGAGTGCACAGCCATGCAAAATCTCGTTTTTTGCCATTTTACGGCTATTGTCTCTTCGTCGAATGTCTACATTTTGCATAGCATTTGGAATTATTTTTCTCCTTCCATACTTCAGAGCCTTTGTCAATTTTTTAACCTTTCCCCAGGTGGGGAGCTGGAGGCATGCAATCAACGTCATCCTTGCAATAATGCCGGAAAGTGCATCTTCAGAAGATCTCTAGAAGGACATGGAGAGTACACTTGCATATGTAAAGAAGGCCGTGCAGGAAAGTTCTGTCAAACAGGTAATCAAATTGTATTAGCTTGATTTCGAATTTCGTAAGATTGGCCTTACTCCACTGTTGATGCAGTTTATTAAAGGATTGGGAGAACTTCACGTTGAAAGGATCTGTCAGGGAAGTGCATTTCCTGGAAAGAGAAAGGTATGTTCTCTTTGATGAGACAACTGGCGTTGACAGCACGCCGCTTTGAAATTTGGGTACATGTAGGTACGTCTTTATTGGAATTCGCAGAACCAAACTGGCAATGTCGCCAGCCCTTTCCCAAAGATGCCATAATATTTCGCAATTGATCCTTTTTGCAACCGTGCCAAAAACAGGTGCTAGTTGTTGAAATCGCATCCATATTTTCAGAAAGAGCTCAAAAATTGCTAATATCGCAACGCAAAATTGGAGCGGTCTTGTGCAAAAAACAACAAAAAAAGGAGCAGAAACAGTAGAAGTGCAGCGACATCAAACTCCTACACCCTGCTATGAATCACCCCTTCACACAGTGCCAGTAGCCAGTTGCAAGTTGCCAATAAAGTGGCGAGCATCTTTGGAAAGGGCTGGATGTCGCGCACTTAATTGGAAGCAAATGGGAGCAGAAACTATATGCACTGGCACCATGAAGCGAACTTGGAGCTATTTTCCCAGTTGATTGACCATTCCCAGTTGTCAGCCAGTCTCCACATCAAGAAAGTAAAGTAAATTATCGTATCCGTTCCCGAAGGGAACTCTTGACGGCCGCTTACACCCGGTAAACCCTAGCAGCAGATGCAGCGCCTAACGACAGGGGTGAGGCGATAAGCCACACAACCGCTCTCAAAAGTTCTCAGAAATCCGAATAGCGGCATCCATGTACATCTAGTGCCTGGCCACAATGTCCCAGTTGACTGTGGTTAGCAGAACAGGCGGAAAAACCACCCCCAGGCAGGACCTCAACCAGGTACCTCTCGTATTTCAACCTTGGACTTGTCAGTACCGTCGGTGAGTGTCTTCCGATTCCATTTTGGGACTTTTCCAAATGCTTAGCCAGTATCGAATCAGCAAAGACAGAGAGAAACAGAAGGTGAGAGAGGAGACAGAGACAGGGACAGTGACAGAGAGTCAGAGAGAGAGAGAGAGAGAGAGAGAGAGAGAGAGAGAGAGAGAGAGAGAGAGAGAGAGAGACAGAGAGAGAGTGTAACAGGTTTAATCAAACTTGAAAAGTAAGAGGCCTGGTTGAGCGTGCCTCGACCAGTTATATACAAATGTGATAGTATACATGTGGCAATGGCGCCAATGAAGGTGCTAATAGACAGGCGTAAGACGCATGAGGTGCGAGGGAGTGTAAAGTTATAGAGAACAGGGGAAAACTGTTACATCATCCCCCTCCTATGGAGAGGAAGGAGCTTATAACCCAAATGCTCAAGTGGAATAGAGTACAATAAGCGCAAACACGTGCGAGACGAAAAAAGGCTTTGCACTGAAGTAACACAATAAGACGACTGAAACTCCATGCAAATTAAAGTGTAATAAGCTCAACAAATGTGTAAGGTGAAACTAGAAGTTCAACTGCAAAACTCAGCGGGCAGAAGCCAAGGTTTTGTACTTCTGAAGTGGAACAATGTCATTACCAGATTCATCCAACAAATAATGTTCAGGCTCCCAAGTGGCATCAGAGTAGCCTTGCCACTTGACTAGGTACTGAAGCTGATTCTGCCGGCGGCGGTGACTGAGAATGTTCTCCACCACATAGCGGGCATGACCATCAAGGTCCGTGATAGGCGGAGGCGTAGGCTGTCTCCTATTAGGAATAGCGTTCTTCTCGTAGGCACGGAGTGCCGACACATTAAATACCGGGTGACAGCGGCTGGTATGAGGCAACTTGAGCTTGTAGGCATTCGGGCCGACCACATGGGTTATAGGAAAGGGGCCAAACCACTTGGGGCGTAATTTATGGGATGGTCGGTCCCGAGCTTCAGGAGTCAGGAGGAAATCCCGGTAGACCATTACCAAATCTCCCACCTTCAGCTTTCCCTCGACCCTTGTCCGATCTGCATAGAAGGCCTGACGAGCTTGAGCTGCCACTAACGCATCTTGTGAGATCTTGACCGCGTCTTGTCTTGCTTGCAACCAATCAGCTGAATCTCTGCCTCCCTGAATAGGGTTGAGGAAGTCGGGTGGCGCTCTGGGATTTAGACCGTAATTTAAGAAGAACGGTGTGTTTCCTGTAGATGATTGAGTAGCGCTGTTGATAGAAAACTCACAGAGAGGTAGGAGCATATCCCAGTTATCTTGTTTATGATTTACAAAAGCCCTCAGCACATCCTCTACTATTCTGTTTACTCGTTCAGTTAGGCCATCTGTCTGAGGGTGATTGGCAGTACTAAATGCTAGTTTCGTTCCTAAGCGATCAAACAATTCCTGAAAAAATGCTGCCGTAAATCTTGGATCACGATCACATACAATACTAGAACTCAAACCATGAAGTCGAAATACATGTTGAATATACAGATCAGCACTTCCTTTAGCGTCAATAGTAGAGGAATTAGGTGCTAAATGTACACACTTTGTCAAGCGGTCTACAAATACATATATAGCATCATGACCTGTATCGGTCCTAGGCAAACCCATGATAAAATCCATCGAGATATCCGCCCACGGCTGACTGGGCACTGGTAAATTCTGCAAGAGACCAGTTTTTAGCTGGCCGCCTTTAACTCGTTGGCAGACGTCACATGACTTGACAAACGCCTTTACATCCAGTCCCATTCTGGGCCAATAGAAATATCTAGCGAGTCTGAAATAGGTGCGATCTCGACCGGGATGCCCCGCAGTCACACAGTCATGGTATTCTTGAAGCAGGGCGAGTCGGAGTTTGCTACTCTTTGGAATACATAACCTGTTCTGTGGTGAAGATCTGAGATAAAGATAACCGGGTGTTTCATTTAGAAGGTAACGGTCGTGCAGATTGTCATGGCTTGAATTTTTCAGTCTCCTGATAATGGGAGCAAGATCCTTGTCGCACTTGTAACCGCTGACAATTAACTGCGCTAAGTCTGGATTAATCTCTAGGGTATGCTCTATGGCATTCAACTGAATGTTAGGAGGATAGGATGACCCGCCTATTTCAGAATCACTGAACAGATCTGGACGGCGTGAAAGCGGGTCGGCAATGTTTTTCTTTCCTGGTTTGTGAAAGACCGTAAAGTCATAGTCAGCTAAAAACTCTACCCATCTTGCCTCACGCTTGGTGAGAGTCGGTTTGGTTCGTAAATAGACAACACCCATATTATCAGTCATCAGGTCAAAGTGGCGGAATAGATAGATTCTCCAGCACTTTAATGCAAATACCACAGCCAACGTTTCCCTCTCGGCCGCAGTATAGTTGCGTTCTGCAGCTGACAGTTTCCGACTACAATAGGCTACGGGATGCAAATCCATATCTTCTCCCTGCTGCAGGAGCACACCCGCCACGGCAAAGTCACTTGCGTCAGTTTCTACCGTGAAGCTTTTCTCAACATCGGCCAGTTGCAACACTGGCGCCTCGAGTAATGCTGATTTTAGAGACTCGAATGCCTTCTGTCTAGCAGCGCTCCATTCAAAGCGTGAATTTTTTCCGGTGATTTCTTCTAATGGACGAGAGATGGTCGAGTGTCGATCTATGAACCTTCGGAAATAGTTTGCAAAGCCAAGAAACTTCCTCACATCAGTTACTGACGACGGAGTTGGCCATGTTTCCACAGCACTTATCTTCTTGGGATCAGGGGAAATTGATGTGCCGTTGATTTTATGCCCCAAGAAGAGAACTTCTCTCACGCCGAATTCGCATTTAGACTGTTTGCAATACAGCTCACTATTTCTAAGTGTTTCTAGAACTGTTTGAAGATGATGCTGATGATCTTCCCAGGTCTTGCTGAAAACTAGAATGTCATCCAAGAATACTACAACGAATTTTCGGAGATGCGGTTGCAGAATAGAGTTCATGAGTGACTGAAAGGTGGCCGGGGCATTAGTCAGCCCGAATCCCATGACTCTAAATTGGAAGTGGCCGAACGGCGTATTAATGGCCGTCTTAGAAACATCCGAGTCTTGAATTCTGATTTGATTGTACCCCGACCGCAAGTCCAACTTGGAGAAATATGCACTGCCCTGGATCGTGTCGAATAAGTCATCAATATTAGGAAGACAAGCTTTGTTTTTGATCGTAATTCTATTCAATTCTCGCCAATCGCACACCATTCTCAGAGTACCATCCGACTTTTTCACAAAAAACACAGGTGCACCGTATGGCGACTTACTTGGCTCAATGAATCCCTTCTCAAGTAATTCTGACAGCTGTGACTGGAGCTCGTCCATCTCCGGTTTCGGCAGGCGGTAGGCGGGTCGAGACGGTGGTCTGGCTCCATCTTCTATCTGGATTTCATGGTCGACTGGTCTCTTCGGTGGAAGCTCATTCGGCAGCTCGTCTGGAAATAAATCCTGGTACCTCTTGAGCAGGTTCTGGATGTCTTGTTGCTCTGATTCCTGGAGTTGTGGCCCGGAACGATTCTCCTCGTTTGCAGCAGTGACCCATGCAAGAAACCCCTCGGCTCCACTCCTCAGGGCATGACGAGCTTGTCGGCCACTGATAAACATGCTTTCCACAGATGGCCGGTCGGCTGTCGGCGGGTTAGCTGAAGGCAATTTGGCAACAAAGGGCTCACCGTCCAACTGAACTTCGTTCGTACGGAAGTTGATGCTGGGGTTGTTCCTTGTAAGCCACGGCTTGCCAAGAATAGCGTCGTAGCGAGTCAGGGGATACACAGTAAGGTGCTGTTCCTCACTGAAGCCCCCGACTGTCACCCTTAGCGTGCGTGTGGAAATCTGCGGGACCTCGCTGGTCGAGCCGTCCGCCAATGTTACGCTCAGCACTGCTGAGCTTGCATCCGTGTCAAGATGATGCTTTCGAACAAAACTGTCTGCAATGAAGTCATGCGTCGAACCGGAATCTATCAGCATCACTGCACGGCGACCGCCGATCTTTCCCTGTATGCGCAGTAGGTCGTGTTCAGGTTCATTGCCGACGCTGACGTTGCTGACATGACACCTTTCTGCAACGGGACAATTTCCTACAGCTATGGGTGTCTCCGGCTCCGTAGGTTCCTGGAGAGCAACGTCTTCAACCTCCAGAGCTCCGAACCGGTTAGCGACTGGTACCGGCGTGGGTGCTTCGGTCGTCGCCAGTAAGCGCACCCCCTTTCTTACTGGCGACCAGCGTTTGGGTAGCGCTGTCCACCCTCAGTACAGTCTTTAGCGAGGTGGCCTGGCTTCCTGCAAGCAAAGCAGTGTCCCATTGCTCGCAGTTGGACACGCTCTTGGTCCGTCAGCTTGCGGAGGCCCTGACCACAGATGCTGGGCACGGAACGCGACTCTCTACTGGCTGGTGGCCCCGACGCCGGTGGCCCTGACGACTGCTCCACGGTGTTTGCAGCCATGACAGCTTGCTCCAGGATACGTGGATGCTCACGCAAGACCTGTCGCTGGATGTGCGGCACTAGACCCCTGACGAACAGCAGCGCTCTGGTGTGGTGGTCGATTTCCGGCACTTGCAGGCTGAGGCGAGTGAAAGCAGCAATGTATGCGGCCACCGACCCGCGCTGCGCTGCGGAAATTAGTCCCATACGCGATGTTTCCTCGTTGTGCCGTGGTCCGTACACATCGCCAAGTGCCGCTTTCAGAGCAGGCCAGTCGGAAAACACTTGGTTAGCTTCCAATGCCGCTATCAACCAAAGACGAGCGTTTCCAGTCAAAAATCCTGCCGCGTAGTCGACCCTCTGTGCCGCATTTGGGAGTGCCAACGACCGTAGGGCCATGTCCATTGCAAACGTCCATTCTTTGAATGTAGCGGAATCTCCTCCAAACACAGGCGGCTCTTTCGTAAGGCGGGGTGTTGGCTCCCACGGTTCCGAGTTCGGATGTATCGTTCGGTTTCCTTGGCTAACGCGCTGAGCGGTCTTGATATCGTTTATCAGCCGAACGACGAGTACGAGGAGCGTAAGCAGAGCGACCAGAACACCTGCCAAAAGCAGAGTAGTAACCATCCTCTGCTACCAGTGTAACAGGTTTAATCAAACTTGAAAAGTAAGAGGCCTGGTTGAGCGTGCCTCGACCAGTTATATACAAATGTGATAGTATACATGTGGCAATGGCGCCAATGAAGGTGCTAATAGACAGGCGTAAGACGCATGAGGTGCGAGGGAGTGTAAAGTTATAGAGAACAGGGGAAAACTGTTACAGAGAGAGAGAGAGTGAGAGAAAGAAAGTGAAAGAGAGATAGCTAAGAATACCAAACGTATTTTAAGGACAGCCAACCCCGATACAATGTAGGACACATATTTTGACTTGGTAAGATTGACAGAATATAGCTCAAGACAGGACTGAGCTTTACAAATCTCGAAAACAAGGCGCACAACAAGAAATGAGTTTTATATTTACCGTGCTTTCGGTTGTCCGTTTCCATTTTGTGACTTTCCCAGAATGTTTAGAGGAGCCAACAACGAATCAGCAAATCTTGCATCAAGTGAGCAAGGATGTGCAAGACCTGAAAGTACATATGGCCACACAGGAGGACATCAGGCACATTGAAACTTTCCTGGAAAGTATAAACTCGACCATGACTGAAATGGCATCGAAAATTACGTCCCTGGTAAGTTGGCAGACAGTGTCTGAACATGTATAAGTATGGTGTGCCTTCCGAGCAGACTGCTTGAGTGACATTAAATAGGTTTGCCTAGCATTTAAGCTATAAATCCTACTTAGTAGGAGTGATGAGGATTCGTGCAGCTTTATTCATAGGAAGTGTGTTTTAGAGCAGACCCACCCCTTTCCCATTCACTTTGCTACAATCTCGAACTCGTTCATCAATTAATTATTACAATGGTTTGGCATAGCGCCCTCGTCAGGTATGCTCCAAGCTTGCAAAACAAATAAAAAGTTCGACGGGTTCACGTACCGGGCAGGTCAAGAACAAGGAGTCGTACAACTCCATGGTCAAGAACCACCTTTCCACTTCCGTGCTAGCAAAGGAGCAGAAACGCCTGTACCTGCAATACTATTATTGTCAAACACCGTGACGTGTTTTAACCATAAAATAATGATAGCCTAAAGTTGTTAGACGAACAATACATGATAATAACTTTATTAGGATGACCCAAAGGCATTATGATGCTAAGACAATTATTTGGTGATAAATTCACGCAAGTCAGTAGTGCTACCCCCCCCCCCCCCCCAACACAGACACACATAATCCGGCAAAACAAAAAATTATGCTGTCCACAGAGATGTATAAGGCAGGACACCTTACCAGCTAGTGGCCAATGTCGCCCAAGTGGCGACAAATAAAGGGTCACTGACGCACAGTAATATTTTGTTGGAAGGATGTTAGAATAACACTGAGCTGTCATACTCACAGAAGCCCTCAGCCAGCGTTAGGGTGTATTTATGGTTCGAAGTTTATTATATACACAGCTTCTCTCATTTTTTGCTTGCCCTGTCACCTTCCCATGCTAATACTGACACACCCGCAAATTCGGTGTCTCCCAGCGCCAGTCTCGTTGGGGCATGCTTGGTGCACACGTGCTCACCCCATGGTTTTACTCGGGTGTGGCGTCTCGCTTCTCCATTATGTTTAGTCAGTCTAGTTTCTAATGATCTCTCAGTCTCCTAGACATAAGGTTCCTGGCTCCACTTGCATCGCAAATAGTAGATATAATTTTATTGCATAAGCACTTGCAATGAACTCGGTAATCAGTACATGTACAATTCATCTAGCAACGGGTAACGAATACTGTGCTGAGACGCAGAATCAGCGATCCCAAAAACAGATTCGCAAGTATGCCCGTCTTCAAATTCTATTTTAACTTTATACGTGCACGTACATGTACAGTGATGGCAAATAAAATATCACCGCATAAATCAAGAGTGAATACTGGCTGTTGTCATGCAGCAAGAATGTGAGTGAAGGTCCCACCCCTGCCCCCCCCCCCCTCCCCCAGATTCGCTTGTATGTTGAAATTCAGAATTCCGTTTTTAAAAATTGATGTGTTTGCTTCGCTGTTTCTTTAGAATGGGTACCTTGCAGAAGACCAGGAAAATCAGGGTGTTGAGGAAACGGAAGGTACGGCACGCACCGTCACTAAACCATGTTGTAGGAACCATGTTGCTCCATTGTAGCTGATGAAAGTCATTATTTTCACCTCCTCTTCACAGACCTTACACAGTAATTGAACAGAAGCAACTCTGTATTCACAGAAAGCGTGAGTTTTGAAGTCTGAAAAAATTTTTGAACTGTCGCTGCTTGGGTAACTACCACCCCATAGCTTAGTTTTAGCCCTGTGGAGCGTATTTGGCCGCAAGCGAGGGTCCCTGGTTCGAGTGTTGGTGGTGACAGGGAAATTTTCGGTCACACTTTTTCGCGTTTTAACTTTCCCTCAAACTTATAACATTCTAATTTTAAAAGTTGTCTTTAATTCTCCTTAGTGATTCATGTGCACATGGTAATGTCGACTTACTAAAAGAGCAGTGCACAAAGTGAGAAAACGCTACACCTATTTAGACGCCTGAGGAGTTTATACCCTGGCAATTTTTGCCGTTCTCCAGGTCTTTATATCAGCCCGAATGCGCGATTTGGTGGGTCTTGGGTGGGAGTTTTGTGGATTTTGCTTCTGGTTTCCTCATATGGCGGTAAAGGCACACGTGGAAAAATTGCGGTTTACTTGATAACGTTATTAGCCTGCCCACACACGCTTTCTAAGGTGCAAACTGTACGGTGAATTGTTGTAGAGACCTCTTTCTCACACCAGCTGTTAAATGGGAAGTTGAGGCAAAAACCAAAATTTCACCAGTTGTAGTCTTCGGGGTGCTAAGTTGAATGGTCGTGGTCCGAGGAAGCTGAGACGCTCCCTTCCTACTTGAATCCCAATTGAACTCGCGCACTTCCACCGAAACTGGGTGACTGTCGGAAAAGGCTGCGATGCAGCGTTCCTCCTTTATTCCCAATCGAACATGGTTGACCAAGCGGTCACGTGCTCCTGCGTACACCAGTCACCTGGTCACCGTGCCTGCAGGGTACAACTTACTAACCTGTTTGACCTTTTTTGGGTGCAGTCCTGTCACTCGAGTTGAACTCGAGTTGAACCTTGGCGTGAAAGTTGTCGCCTGCTGGCGTGGTGACCAGGTCATTTTGGCACCCAGGAGCACTTGACCACTTGTTCAACCATGTTCGATTGGAAATAAAGGAGGAACGCTGCATCGCAGGATTTTCGGACCAAAACCAGTCGACTCAGCGTCCAAAAGATTACAACATATGGGCCAATCGCGGTCAGCTGTGCTTTTATAAGAACGAAATGGCGCTTTTAGTGACATTTTGCATACAAATCCCCATCTTGTAGGGCGCAGTCACCCAGTTTCGGTGGAAGTACGCGAGTTCGATTGGGATTCAAGTAGGAAGGGAGCGTCTCACGTTCCTCGGACCACGACCATTCAACTCAGCACCCCGAAGACTACAACTGGTGAAATTTTGATTTTTGCCTTAACCTCCCCTTTAACCACCACAACCATGCACCATTACTCCGCGCATAGTGCCTAGAGGTCTGCGACAGAGTGCAACTTTACTGCGGTGTGTGTGCATGACATTGTCTTGGTGTGGGTTATTATCTTGTTACTGTGTGCGACGAAGCTCTTTATCATTATGACTATTATTTATCTATTATTACTATTCGCCATGGGCAGCCATCTGGGCAGCCATCTGGTCAACCATCCGGCAACCATCTGGCGCCGCCATTGGCCATTATTTTCATGTCAGCGCTTGAGAATGCAGCCCTGTCTTCTGCTGAATTTCAGCCCTGCATTTTCAAGCGCTACATCTATGATATAATCATGCTGTGGCGATATGGACGAGCGGCTCTGAGCAGGTGTGTTGCCTATCTCACCAACCAACACCCCTTTTATAACATTCACCATCACACACTCCGACAACGACACCAGGAGCGTCGACTCCCCTGATTTTACGTTGAGTGTCAATCCCGAGTGTACGTTGGAGTGGGAACTGTTTGTCAAGCCTTCACACAGCGGAGTTCACCTGTCATTTCTGTCGTCTGTTCCTTTGTCAACAAAGCGTGCAGTCGCAGTTAATCAGTGTCGTCGGGCAATCTCCAACGGTTCAACGGAGGCGGGAAGAGGAGCTGGAATCCAGAAAATCACAGCGTTACTGGAAGCCAACGACTATCCAGATCGAGAAATTCAGCGGGCAGTTAAAACAGCAAAGAAATCGAATCGAGGTAAGATGAATCCGTGGCAGAAGCCGAATCAATCAATTCTCAAGCTCCCATTCATCAATGATGCACTGGCCGCTCGGGTTTCTCGCCGTGTTCGTCAGTATAGTCCAGATGTTCGTCTTGTTTTCACGTCCGGTCCGTCATTGAAGCGTAGACTTGTCAGTTCGTCGTTTGGTACGCGTATGTGTCCGCGTGATGTGCAGCGTGCGAAGGTGAAGCGTGGTCCTGGCAGGCCAATGGTGTGCAGAGCATGCGATGCGGATGTGAAGAGCAGTGAATGTCTGACGAAGAATGTAGTCGACTGTATGTCATGTACCTTGTGCGAGGAGCTCTACGTCGGGGAAACCGAGTGTTCAGGGAGGGAAAGATTCAAGGAACATTATCGAGAGGCAAGGGTGAGGGCAGTGAAGACTCCCTGGGGGGGGGGGGGGGGATCACAAGTCTGACCACCAAGAATTTGCAACATCATCGCCTAACTTCCAGCCTTTCCACCACGCCAAGATTCTCGGCAGGGAGTTTTCGCTGCCTTCCCGCAACTACATGGAAGCAACCGAAATCAGAAGCAGAAAGCCAACAATCAACTGTGACAGTGGATGGAGACTATCGGCATAAATTCATCAAGACAACAGGACCTTTTATGGTTACTGTGGGCAAGACCATCTCATCGAATGGATGCAATTGCCGCTCTTGAGGCTCGCACTCACGCACTAAATAGTTTGTTCAAACGTGCGGCTCGCTCGGTGTGCAGGGCAGCCCCTCGAACTCACACGGCTCCCTTACTTGAACGCATGAATGCCCATACCCTCAGCATATACACCCACATGCACATTCTTGTATTCATTTGGCGCTGCCTGAACAAATCTTCAAGTACTCTGTTTGCAAGCTTTTTCACCCGTAGTCCCTCTCTCCGAACACGAGGAGGGAGCAGCAAGTTACTCATCATTCCTGTCTCCCCCACTGCATCCTCAGCTAAGCGCATTAGCCATGCTGGAGCTATCCTGTGGAACCAGCTCCCAGACACAGCACGCCTCGAAAGAAAGCGCTCCACTTTCAAATCGCTAAGCCTGGCCTTTCTGTTAGGCAGTACCGTCAACTAGGATGAACTCATCTGCTTCACTACCTCTCTCTCTCTCCCTCTCTCTCTCTCTCTCTCTCTCTCTCTCTCTCTCTCTCTCTCTCTCTCTCTCTCTCTCTCCTCTCTCTCTCTCTCTCTCTCTCTCTCTCTCTCTCTCTCTCTCTCTCCCTCTCTCTCTCTCTCTCTCATGGTGAGGCCTACCTCGATGCGCAAACTCTGCCATTCTTTTTATTGGCAGTCGCAAACGCTTTGGCTTACGCCTCCACTACCTTCCTACGGTGTGGAAAAAGTGCCAGTCCATCAAATGGCACATTCTTCGATCGAGTGGGGACGCGCGCATGAGGGCGCTGTACACTCTGCGTCGGAGTAAGGATGCGAAGCTGACAAAGCGATATGCGGCGACAATAGAGCTGGAGTGTGCAGAGGCATCAGTAGGTTCAGGGACTCTCCGTCCACCGTCATCTTCAAGTCATCGTGCAGGGTTGGGTGCTCGTGCTCCGAAGCAGCATTCCAAACCCCCGAGGAAGGATCTCCTTCAAACATTTGAGGAGATCAACGCGCAGGAGCAGATTTTGAGGCTGAAGACTCTTCAGGTGCAAGGCAAGTGGTTGGAGTGGACATCGGTGATGTGGCAGGACCTCTCGTGGAAATCCCTTTTGTACGGTGGTACTGGTAAGGATTTGAAATTTCTTCTCGCGTCAACCCTCGACGTGCTACCTTCTCCGACGAACCTACGCCGTTGGGGAAACACCGTAGTGGATCCGTACTGTAGTTTGTGCCGTGCCTGGGCCTGTGCTACGCGCCACATGCTTGGCGCTTGTCGCGTAGCGCTGGACCAGGGACGTTACACCTGGAGGCACGACAACGTACTCGGGGTCATCGTCAGGAACATGCGTGAGGAGATTCGAATCCACACTGCTGCAAACACCGTACAAACCGAAAATTCAAATGAACTTGACATCATCTCGTTTTGCAAGGCGGGAGAGAAGCCAGTTCGCGTTCAGCCCAGACGGAAGTTGGTTACGACTGATCTCCTGTCAGCGGCCTCAGACTGGAAACTTCTTGTCGACTCAGTTAGTGCAAAGATTTCTTTCCCTAGCTGTGTTGCACTTACCACCCTAAGACCAGATATAGTTCTGTACTCTACGAGTCGTAGGATTGTATTCTGGATGGAGTTGACAGTTTGTGCTGAGGACAGATTCAGTGTCAGTAACTCGCGGAAGGACAGGCGGTATGCGGATCTGGCCGATCAATGCCGAGCAAACGGGTGGCAGGTCGTTTCTTTTTCGGTTGAGGTAGGTGTGCGTGGTTTCATCCCGGACTCTCTTCGGAGGGCTCTGAAAGCGCTTGGGTTTTCTAATCGAAGAATACAATTTATTTGTAATTTGTGCAGTAAGACGTCTCTGCGAAGCAGCTACATCATCTGGTTGCGAAGTCAACAAAAACACTGGTCGGAAGATCCACTTTTCTGAGGTACTGTATGTGGGGCTCCGTTTATTGAGGTGCGTTGAAATTTATTCTCTTTATCTTATTATTTCTTTTCTATAATTTCCCCATATGAGTTCCTATCGGTTGCTGTGAACACCTTGAGTGGAGAGCGCTTGCTCGAGCGTTGAACCGGGTTCTTAATCCACCATACCCAGTTCGCAAGGCTGGGCGGGGTTGTGAGCAGGCTTTCATTTCATCTTTTCTTATTATTTCTTATTATTTCTGCTTTTCATCTCATTACAAAAATTCTGCGTTTTTCTCCATCTGCGCATAAAATCT